GCTGCAAATAAAAGTTAGATGGCTCTCCAAGGGCAACTGTATGCGCCGTTTTGTTGCACTCTGGGACACCATTATCACATAACTTTCTGAAACGGATTATGAAAGAAAACTGTTCTCAGCTGAGCCAGACATGCTATGTCTGGCTGATGTTTTGGAAAAACAACGAATTTGATAAAACCCTTAAAGGCAAGTTCAGTAATCTCATCACAGGCAAAGAAGCCCTTGTCGCTTTTCTTATAAAGTTGGAATTGTATTCTCAAAACATCAGATGTTGGGAATTGTCACAGTTCCCAATTCTCGCTACAGACACGGAGAAGCTGAAGGATGAAGACGTGTTTGTTTATGCCAGTCATATACAATAATTCATAAGAGAATGTAAGAGGTTTCATGACCTGATTGATATGGAAATCCGGATTTTGATTTAAGGTCCATTTGATGTACAGCCATGCAATGTTGGAGTTAAAACCCAAGAAAGTCTCATAGAGCTTCAAAGTGACACACTAACAAGATCAAACCTCATGCAATGGGAAAGGGATTTTCGGATAACGACTGATGCCCATAGCAGATATCCCAGATTGTGGGAAGTAGCTGAAATATTTACATTGCTTTTCCATCTACATACTTGACTGAATGCGGATTCGGCAGAGTAGTTTCTCTAACCAAAAGTGGAAACAGATTGGACATCACAGCAAGAGGAGATCTTCGACTCACGCTGTCAAGGCTGGAGCCGGATTCAATCAGACCTGCTCAAGGACATCAGGCTCAATACTCGCATTAATATCTCGACAACCGTAAAAAGCAAACGATAATTAAGTATAATAGTAAATATTACGGATGATTTTTGTGCAACTACAGACAAGTGGGTTGACGTTGTCACACAATGAATGATAGGTTGAGGCAGTGAAAGCTAAAAAATGAGGTTTCTGACGAAAACAGAAGTGATACCAACATTAAAAATTTAACCATCATAAAAGCGTATCGATATGACCATTAGAAATCAAAGATTTACGTATATTATACGTTGCGGATTGCTGAACTTGTAGTGCTTAAGGGTGGGGGGTCATCAGAAATGAAAAATTTCAACAGATACGACTGGATAGAGGTTGAGAATGCCTGGGTTAGACAAATAGGATTTCAAAGTACAGAATAGACGGGTAACCCAGTGAAGTACAACTGAAGCGCACTAAATAAATAAATAAATTTGTATATTTACCCACAAACGGTACACGGCCCCATAAGTGGGAGGGCTCATTTGTATAGTGAATAGGTTTCATGGTTTATGCGGCGTAAATTATGATAGTAAAGGATAGTTTAATAATAGGATTTCGGATCATGATTCTTTTTCCTAGGGTCCTAGGCCCGAGCACCTAATATAGAAGATTTACCGACATTTGTATCATCATTTTCTGGTTTGTGGGGCTCAGGAGTAGATAAAAAACGGAGGGGATACTAGGCTACACAGACACAGGACTTGGTATTGTAGGTGATGACATGTAGTAGGTAAGGTAGTTGTAAGCGAATATCTGCCCATATGTTTGTTATACCAGCTTCTGTCAATGTTTCTAGAGTTTGCTGTGAGTCAAAGATCTTCAACACATTTGAAATAGTGAGAAACGTCTGAAGGGAATTTCGAAATGTGACATAGCTTGCACTCATGCGTATCTGTAGAGGTAGTTTGTTCCACAGATCAGTGTATCTCACTAAGAAGAAATTCGATCGCGTTTTATGACTTGAAAGATTTGTGCGTACCAAGTAGCCGCCATTACGTGTGAGGTAGACTGAAGTCTTCCGTAGTTCAAGTGCGGTGCTGTCTGCGTAAATTCGTTGGTTTATAATGTTGTAGAAGAGAACGAAGTTGATCCTTAAGCGTCTCAGCCAAAGGGGATCCAGCTGAAGATTTCGACAGCGATCATAATAACTCAGGTTTGAGCAGCGCCCAATGTCCAGCTTGATAAATGATCGTTGGACATTTTCCAGAGCGGTTCTGTCTTTATTTCTCAAATGGCTGGGAACAATAGTACGACAGCATCGGATAATAACCGTACGGCCCTCTGATGACAGGCCGTCATAAGAAATATAGAAAGTAGTAAAGCCAACCCACATTCTTGGCGGCTGGTAGCAAAAACGTGTGCGCCACGCAGAAATCGCCATGTCTTCCCACGATGTTGGTAGCAAGTCAGCCGGAGCAAGTGTGGTTTAGACTCGATGCGGATGTAGTAAGCGCACTGCACCACATTCAGAATCATGGTTTCATAGTTCGCATACGGCTAAAAACTAAAGCGCACTATAATAAAAGCCAGGATATTCATTGTAGAACAGATGAGAACAATGTGGGCACGAATCCAGGTAGGTACCCGATTGCGCCGATGCATCAGCGGCACCAAACCACTCTGCGAACCACTTGGTATCAGATCCCATGAACGAAAGTGTCTAAGCGGTAAAGTGACTCACCGACTTAAAACCCCATGTGTTCATCCTAGTATGCGTAGTTTTAGCTGTAACAGTCTGATGAGAAACCAATGAAAATCAACTTGTTCGCTATGTCTTGTTTCTGATTACCTCCTCCGGGAAGTAGTTCGCAATTGTATCAGATTTCGATGAGTAGATCATTACAAAGTGGATCACGATGGACTCACTGTTGGTAAGAGAAGCTAGTGTGCGTAGAAAACAACTAGTAAATTGGGCAGTGATGCTGGTATGGGTGGTCGTTTGAGTGAACTGTGGTGACGCGATACAGACAGAAGGTTAGTCGAATGCAGCCGAGGTGAACCATTGCAACGGTCGCATAGGAAAGGCAGGATTGAGTCGGTCCAACCCGAACGAAGCGCCGCGTGGTTTCAAATAAAGAAGTCGAATGACCCGACCCGAGCGCTCGAGTAATAATGGACCCACGCCGACGGCATGACGAACAATGGTGGCTGGTCAACTGGATGAATGGAACTGAAGCATGACCATCAGACGGAGGGTCAGTCAAACGTCACCCACACAACCTGACCAGAATTGCAGGTGTAGAGGGGATAAGGCTGAACTAAGTTGCCTTAATATGTGCCAAGCTCAAAGTAGCCGAAACAGAGGAGGCGAAGGTTGGACCAAGCGCAAGGTGGTCAATAAACTTAAATAACAGACAGCCGGCGACAAGCTGAAACAGTGGACTGGCGATTAAAATCTATGTGCATATGACAAGACTAAATAAAACCGACTTATGATCGCTAACCACACTACGTGTTTACAAGCGCAGAGATACATAATTCCCTTCAGAGAATAATAAATCGTCAGATGTACGCCGTTTGCTGCTGCGCGACCACCAACAGTCGCGCGTAGGCAGAGTATACCGTGAAGACACCTGCCCCTAGGCGGATTCGAACCGGTGACCTTAAAACTGCAAGCCAGGCATGGGAACCACTCGGCCACCGGCCGACCAGAGAAGAAAGCCCTCATAAGGAACCATGTCAGTCAACACACGCAGATAGACCGGATCTGATCGCCGGAAGGCAAAACAACCCGCGAACCATCAAACGAAAGGAATCAGCTCGCACAATAAGTGGAATGGGATAAGTGGATCACCAAAGCTTCGTTCACAAATCGCTGTTCGCACCTTATCACCGAGCATCTAACCGAAGGGATGCAGGACTCATGAATCGCCCACGTAGCTGAATACGGCCGTGTGAACAATGTAACGAAAATTAGTCAACAAGTTTAAACACAATGTAAAACGTTCGCATCCGACTACTGTATAAGTTCTCACCTTGGACCTGTTCACTAATGCCCCTGTGTGAGTAGGGCCATGAGTCAAGAAATAAGCATGCAGAGTGAAACAATATAAACAAACTAGTAAAATGGCTCGTCAGAGCAACCTAGTCAAAACGGCCACAGTAAAGGAACTGCAATGAATATCAAAGCATACTCCTGTAGCATGAGCGCGAAAGAACATTGAGACTCATAAGCCTCTAGAGCATATTGTATTTCGTAAAGCGATGAAATGATTGGTACGGATGCTACCGTAACAAGTGTGAGTAGTCAGATGTTGTGTATGAGGGGGAATTAGTATATTCGGTAGCAGTCGGCGGCAGATCGAGACTACTATAAAGTGCAGCCCCGGGGGCGTGCGTTGCGCAACGGTGAGCGATGACTCGAAATTGTCTAAATACCCATGATCATCACCACCACTGTCGTCCCGTAGTCTTAAGGACCACAAACCTGACTTGTAATCTGACGGTGCGGATTCGACCCGACGTACGGACAGGGCGAACCTAGTAATATCCTTAGCACACGTGCAATCGGTGGTGGTTGTGCGGCAGCGAAGTGTCGGTACTGCGTACTGGGGCGCTGCTGATGCCTTTGATTCTGCCGGCCCGTACCTTTAAGGATCACAAGCCTGCCTTGCAATCTGAGGGCGCGGGTTCGATCCTGCGTAGGGGATCGGGTGACCATCGCAGTATCCTTAGCCCACGTGTGACTGGTAGTGGTTGCGCGGCTGCAAAGCGTCGGTACGGCGTACTGCTGATGTCCACCTTCTCGTCCCTAACCAAGCAGAGCCCCACGGCTCAGTCACATGGGTCATTGTGACGCGTCACTCATAAGTAGTACATGCATGACAGACAAAGGATAAAATAACCATGTAGATTGTGCATCAGTGTAGGCGGTGCGGTCCAGAAGCACAAGAACAGAATTCTTCCAAAAGAACACACAACACGTTAGAATTTAGAGTCGGTTGATATTTTACGGCAACGCGGAAAAACAGGGTTGCTAACGGAGATCGATTGCTCGTTATGAAGTGAGTTCAAGGGTGAAAATTAGCCGACGAGTACTAGTAAAGCACGAAGGGAAAGCAGCACAACCAGTGTGCATGAACTCAAATGCAAAGGCTAGAAGTTAAACGCAGTCATCGCAATGTTGAAAAACTTTCAGTAGACCAAGTAATGGATCGGAAATTCTCATACAATTAAATGATCCGAAAGGAAAATAAGTACGTGCGTATGGCCAGAACAAAAGAAGCTTACCTATCATGTGTGTCAGACACTGTTTCGGCGTGATACATGAACAATTCGCGTAGATCGCCCAAACTAAAGTGTCGCTCGACCTCCTCCTGTTGGTCCACGACGCAACTGCTTAGTGCTTTTTTGTGCGCCTGACGTTGCAGCATCTTTTCTTCAATGGTGCCAGTCTGCGAACACGAAACGCGCATCAAAAAATGCAAGTGGAACATGGATAAGAATTAGCTTAATCCGACAAGGTGGTGATCAGGAACGAAGCCAAATCGGTTCTCATTAACGTTGTTGCGGCTGTACCGTCACACGATACAGAGGCAGAATGGCAGAAAATTAATTAAACGAAAATGGATTGTGAAGGATAACTGTGGAGGAGTGAAAAACAAGACACGCGAAAAAATCGCAAATAATTTTGCCCGTCTCGCGTTTTCTGGACTGAGTGTTCTGGCTATTGTCTGATTGATGAACTGAGAGTACTCACAAAAAGAAGCGCCTTTTGGGTCGGACGTGGTCACCACGTAGCCGTCTCTGTATAGAATGCTGACTGGCGTTGAGGTGTCCGCATGCGTTATATGCCCAGTACAGAATTGGACCCATGTACAACCAGCTTTCGGTATGTGACAGAAAAGTCACTGGAAATGATGAAGTGATCTATTTAGTTGGGCGATTGTAAAGGCACAGTTGGCCAAATCACCGTAGAGGTTATTGTAAGAAAAAGCCGATGTGACTTCTAAGGATCTCTTTCAATTAGGGAAACAGCCAGACAGCGATGTAGCCGGAGATCTGGTATTAGAGACACTAAATGCGATGAAAGTAAACAGTTTGTTCACAATCAGTCGAAACGCCTGGTGCGTTAGGCAGAACACTTTGAGAAGCAATCTGATCGATCAACATTACCAGCTCCCATGCTGGCCTGGGAGCGCTATGCTCGCTAACCCGTCCTTTTGAATCATCCCTCTTGCGAAGAAGTTGAAAATGAGATCGAAATGTGGAAACTGGATGAAGCCACAAGACCAGATGGAATTGATCTAGCTCACTTTAAGTTCTGGAGACCATCCCGTGCAACTGATATACTCGATTTACTAGTGAAACTGTAGGAGCGGGAGACTGTTCGAACATTTTGGAGCTGCTGACGTACTGTATCGACTTTCAAGAGGCTCGTTACTCGCCTCTGTCGATCTCCATAGATTGGCTAGCGTCCGTAAGAACCAGATTCGTGAAGAGCAAGAGGGGTTTTAATATCATGAAATAAGTTCGTAACTGACTGGAAATTCCTAATGTAGGAAGGTTTTGGAGTATAAACCGGGTTTTATAGCTTGTATTGTGAATGTCGCTGAAATCAAAGCTGTACTGGCCATGTTTACGATGTTGGTAGTTGGAGCACCATCACAACTACTCACGACCCACCCTAATCGTGCTCCACGACATCAAAGGCGCCTTCTGAGAATAGCTGGTTAAGAAAGGCGTGCCAGAAGGTTACTTAAATACGATAAGAGCGTTTTACGCGAGTATAATAAACCGAGGTGTAGTGGTAGTTGTGTTGTTGCAGTCATGGTTTTGTTCTTTATTCCTTTTCATGAAGTTCATTGCTTTGTGTTGTAGTAAGACAGATGAGGTGTATCGTACCTCTAGCTAATGTGTACCGAGGCATGGATGTTGAAGACATCAAAAGATTGGTCGTGTTGGTATTCAGTGAAACAACCGAGTGAGCTGTGCCAGTTGTGGCTTAGTAAAAAAAATCTTCCAACGATGCACGGAAACACTCCAAGCATGACATGTCTTTGCTGGATCCAGACGGGCGTGTCGCTTCTTCAAAACCGCACATGATCACGCTGAAGACGGTATTGTTAGTTATCACCAAAAGCGGCAGAAAAAATAGCCGGGCTGACACAACTGTTCTCCCGGATCAGATACGTGAGATGTACCACATAAGCGGTTTAGGATCCTCAAAGGTATGAAGCGTTCACAGAGTAGTGGTGCCCCTCCACTGGATTCACTGTTTTCACGAGGCAAAATTTTCGTCAAAACACCTCTTTCATCCGCCATTCGCCTGGGTTTTTAGAAGAATGTGCTCGCCTCTCTTATTACTGGCTCAGTCAAACACTACCAGTAAGTTTGCCAATATTAATACTGTCGTGAGGTATGTCACGGTAACTAAAGGACATGGTAGGAGTTGAATTGGAGAACAGAATAGCAATTGGCACAAGTAACCACGACCAGACGAACTCACGCAAATCAATCGATAGATGAAGCATTCCTTCTTCTGTCCATCACGCCACACCCTGGCCATGGCCTGTTCATCGTTGGCCGGGTTCCAATCTGGATCAAACATAACCAAGCGATTCGCACCGATCAAGTTAAGCCCGCAGCCACCGGCCTTACTGCTCAACATGAAGATGAAATCATTGGACTGTGAGATGGAGGAGAGAATGTAAGGGCCGAATAATCGATCTCGCATATAACCCATCAAAACTAGGTGGAGATGGCTGAATCACCAGGCAATCGCAAAGGAAAAGGTGGAAAAAGCGAGAAAATGAAAAGAAATGAGTCGAGTACAGCGGAACGTGACGAATCAGTCAAACGACTAAGGACAGCAGCAGCACGTCAGTACCCCATACCAACACTTCGCTGCAACACAGACACTACCATTCGCACTCTGGCTAATGATACTGTGAAGTTGCCAGTGTCTACGCAGATTCGAGCGGGTAACCTTGTGGTTACCTGGCGAATTCCTTGCCTTTTCGGCCCCGGCCGAATAACAATAACGTTGTTCCACAACCGTACATTTGCTTAGCATGAGTTCAATATGAAATTTTAAAGTTTGTTATACTGGGAACGCACGAGTATCGCACAAACGGCGAGGGCGACCGGTCGGTTCATATATATCGTTTTGCCACTCCTGATGGTCACAATGCCGAAGACGGTACCTCGCATTGATAAGTACCGTGTGACTGTCGCCAAGGACAGCGATTCATGGGTAAACGATTTTTCGACCGACAGCATGCTTGATTCGCCAATGGTTTCGACATGTATTGTTGGAAAATTGCCAATTAAGGGCGACACTCTTGGACCTATCAGGTTCCGATGCCGGTGGCCGAAAGGTTTATACGCCTGACTTGTAATCCGAAATCCACCGGTTCGAATCCGCGGCATACGGATCCCATGCGGGACTGCTGGTGTTCAAGTGGCGTCGGTACGATATGCTGGCGGGGTATTGCTGATTTAGAAGCACCAAGGTGGAATCTACTGTGAAGTCCCCATGCGCCAACCAATGAACAGAATGGTGCATGCGGACGGCTACGCTCGGCGAGTCCAACTAACGAATATATGAGGTTCGCATCCAATTGGCTGCTGTATAGCGGCAGTTGCTCACTCTGATTACCTACTTCGATCACAGTTGACAAACAAGCCGTCGGTCAATCTGGTATGGCATACGACAAATAGCAGTGCGACTAGCGTTAGTGTATGGATCTGGGTGGACTGAAAGACTGGCCGCTTGGATCAACGAGGCCTGTGTGGTACCAAATAAAGGATACTTTGTTGCTGCACTGCAGGGCCGTATGACTACAGCGGCTGGGTCAAGTGGATCTGCTTGAAGTATCCGCTGTTTGAAGGAACTGTGATACGCATTCCAAATGTGGACCGCAATGTACCCTGAAATGAACCTCAGCTATTACGGACAATGGGACTGTAGCTGAAGCGAAGAAATGTCAGGTGCCGTCACATCCCAACACCGAACACTAAACAACTCGGTGCTGTGTGAGTGAAAACGCTTGCTATTAGTTTCTACTAGTCTCTTGTGCTATTAGTCTCCGGATTCCGGAGCAAACGAGTATGAAAGCGTGTCGATCATTCATTAGTGACGTAGGGGACACCACGATAACCGTTGCATGTGGCAGAGAGAGGCTTGTGGCAATAAATGAGATGTGGAGAGGAGTGAAGAGTGAGGGGAGGAAAGAAACCAGGAATCAGGTTCGAAGAAGAGTAGGCAGTCACAGAAGCCAAAATGACACAGCACGCTGAACAAACAATAACGTGTTAGTGGGGTGTGTGTGGAACGTCTAATGTGTGACCAATTGACACGTAATTCTGTACAGATGGACACAGAACGCTGCATAATTCGGTGGGTACTCCGCACCCCTAAAGCACAGTTGCAAGACTGTGCATTCACAACAGGTTCTGGAAATTACAGAATAGTCACAAAAAATAGTCGATTGATTCACCTACCTAAACTCCGACGAAATTCCTTTCCTCTTTAGATATGTCAACCTTGAAACCCTCACCCGATCTCCCTTACTTTTGATATTTTCAAAAAGCGAACGGATGTTGCCTTCAGTTCGCAGCAATTCGTCACCTAAGTGGTGTTACTGTGGAATATCTCAGCCAGGCCCTCACACTGGAATTGTGTCACATAGACCTAAGGAGGTGGTACATGGGTGAGCGCAATTACTTTAATCGTTTCTCACGGAACAAGTGAACTATAACTGCTCTCCATGTTGTTTTATACACTTGCGTTCAGTACTCATTGCACACTAGTGGTTAAAAGACTTGGGCAGTCTCTTGCATTTACCTGTTAGGATGACAGTTTAGTTAGAACAATTTTACATAATTTTTCAACCCTATATGTCTAACTCTGCAAAATCTGAAATTATTATCCACTTAACGACCGAACTCATGGTAACTGGATCCGGTGCGTTTCGTTGCCCGGACCATAGCAATATAACGGAATTGAACCGAAGTGTAGTAGCCTTCGCCGAGTGGTTCGCATTCTGACGATGTTGCAAGCGCGTTTAGAGTATGAACGGAAGCACAACTAGTGACGCACCCCACTGATTCGGCACCAACGACCTTAGGAGCACTATGCAGTAAATCCGTTGCCTAGACTGTGCATTGCACCAACCTGACTCAAAGATGTCACAACGCAAAAGCCGAGTAGCAACGTATTAAGTGTGTAGCTGGTCCCCACGAAAGTCGAGTAGATCGTATCCATCAGATGTAAGGTGTTGACAACCGAAGCATCCGACGCCAAATACACGAGTAAATGACTAAGGCAAAAATGGGCGCTCAATTTTCAAGTCATCGACTCAGCAGTTGCTGCGGGGTACAATAATTTCCATACGTATTAATGATGTGGAGACCCGATTAAAACGGTGGCGCGAAGGCGCTATTCGTAGACTGTTCTCGGGTACAGCTGCTGGCAGTGTGAGATATCATAATAGGCAACATACGCACGCAATGCATTGAGAAAAGAATGGGATAATCAGTAGGTGGAATTAAGCGGGGGACTTACGGTGGGATCGTTGAAGCGGTCCACGACCTTGGCTCGTTTTTTGATGCTCATGGTACCATCCAAGCGCACATGATTATAACTGCGAAGACAACAAGTTATAACCAAGTCAAGTCAGGTGTCGAACACATGAATACCAACGAAGGGAAATTTAGAGAAAGGCTCATAAATGGAGGCAAGTGCGAAAACACACGGATAAGTATAAACGGAAATCATCGCAAAATGACAGAAAAACACTGCAAAACATTCTAACTACATCTATTATCGAACCTGTATACAAAATGAATTGCAGTAAAGTTAACCGATTGATGGTGAAAACTGGAACGCTTTTAACAGCAGGCGTTATCGCTGGTTTGTAGCAACAGGGAGGATAGATTGAGCCATAGCACCATACAGCGTGCTTCTGGCATATGGTTGGCGCATCCGGTTCCGGATTTGCCTGTCATTGTGGCCAGCCACAGGGCGCCTGCGCCTACAGATGGACCATGGATGGCTTGCGCTGCACCACCCACAGCTCCAACCACACACCCCATATCCAGTGTAAACCCGAAGGAATAAGACCGGGAGGCATGTGGATGGCAGCCACGTTTCATCAACGGAGCCGGCCCACACTCCTTCACAGGCAAACACAAGCACGCTGTATTTGGGAATCAAGCGCACACAAGGCGGTGGTTGGACCGTAGTCCGCTCCACACCGAGTGCATGGAATCACTATTTGATCCTAACACGGCCACAAGGACCGTGCACCCCGTCCGCTCCAGCGACGACCAACTGTCTCCTAGATCCAGTATGGACGAGGTAGTGGGTAATAGACAGGTAGACACCTTGTCAACATGCACATCAAGCGCAACCACCCCTGGGATGTCAAACAACAGCCAATCACTCAAAATGCCGATATCGAATAAAGTAAACGCATATGACGACATAAATACTCGCTAAATGAGCATATAGAAGAAATTGGTTATAAGTGAATCCGTGATAAGTACAAAGTGTCCGAGTTATTTAAAAAAGACCACGTGATACAAGTACGCAAGTGTACCACAATTTGCATGAGCGACGTGTGCAAGTTGGGAGAAGATTAACAAGTACGTAGAACAGAGTAAATAAAATGTAATGAAGTTTATCCACGTTAAAAAGACATAGTTTAAGTGTAAGTGCTATATACTTATCGGATAATCGCCTTGGCTGAAGTGTCCTGCATTTGAGTTCAGTGCTCTGCAGTCTAATGTCATTCTTCTGTTGACATGATTCTTCTATGGGTTCTTTGGGTAAGGTGAAGCTGTCCGCCAACAAGTCAAATAGTAGATTGGCAGATTCCGTTGATCGTGGCTGAGACAGCGCTGATCGTAGCTGATTTGCATAGAATACCCATACCTGCATCCCAACCAACACGTCGTGGTTGACATTCCCGCGCTTGCCCTTGATCGTGCCTGGCGTCCATTTTGCGTGTCCTTCCCGGTAATCACGTACAAGTATTGACGGACCCGGTTTAAACGACTGTCGCTTGATATCATAGCGCCGATTGAAAGCACATTCCATGATGAGGTTCCTTTCACCAGCTGTGGACGCTGAGGATAGCCGAACGGCATCAAAGGGCATGCGGAGCTTTCTCTTTATCACTGCGTCTGCTGGTGATATGCAATCCGGCGTGTGCGAATTTTGTGTAGATCGGTATAGAAGGAAGAAGCGGCCGATCACCTCCTCTATGTCGCCCTCCTTGATTTAAGGAGAGCGCGTTTGAGCGTATCCACAAAGTGGTCTGCTTGGCCGTTCGATTTTGGTGGAATGGCGGAGACCGCATGTGTTTGATGGCGCAGCGTTTGCAGAATTCCGTGAATGCAGCAGAAATAGTGTTCCGTTGCCCGTCATCAATGTTTCAAGTCAACTGAACCTACTGAAGATTTGTCACAACCTTAAGACCGTTGCGCCGATTTTCGTGCTACACATGAGGAACACTTCGGGCCACCTGCTGTAAGCGTCGACCACTATGAGTAAATTCTAGCCGTTGACTGGGCCTGCAAAATCAACCTGAACACGGCTCCAAGGTTTTGGCAACGAATGGAGTTCAGTCTTCGGCGGTGCGCTTGGAGCGGCAGCGCAGGTAATGCAAGTTCTAGCTAGATGCTCCACCTGTCTGTCCATACACCGCAAATGCACGTAACTTCGGACTAGCGCTTTCATACGGTTGAGAATTGGATGTTCTGCATTGACCAGCCGTAACATTTTCTTGCAATATCTGAGGGATGACTACTCTCTCCGAAAACATGATGCAATCGTTCATAATGGACAGCGAAGACATTCGCTGATAGAACTGTTGCATTTCGGCAAAGGAACACGAACGTGGTCAGCTTGTTCTATGGAAGTGTGTAACCTTCTTTAGGATTGGATCTCGAAGCGTTTCGACCCGCATGGCTTCTGCAGTAACTGGCAAACCAACTAATGCCTCGCTCACCAGGAACTTGACATCAGGTTCGAGTTCAACTGCGGCAACGGTCGTGTCCTTCTGTTCTTGCTGATGGAAATCAATGAGACGTGACAACACATCTGTTTGACTCATAGAAAACTTCAACGGATAACGGATCTCAAAATCATAGCCTAGTAAGGTGAGGGCCCATCGTTGGAGTCGACTGGCTGTGTAGATAGGAATGTCATTTTTCGAGCCGAAAATGGCCAGTAGCACCTTGTGATCCGCCAAGAGCTTGAAGCGGTCGGTGACTATACAGCATCTTGTAAAATTTCTTCACAGCAAACATTATGACCAAGGCTACCTTCTCGATCTGGCTGTAGTTTCTTGCAGCTTTCGTCAGCGTCCTAGCGGCATGTGCGACCGCCCTCTGAGATTAATATGAGAACGTATGGGAAACTACGGCACCGATCCCTAGACTTGGTGCGCCTGTAGCGAGGAGCACTTCTCGGGACGGGTCAAAATGATTCAGAAGTAAATATGAATGCAGCAATGACTTGACCCGCTCGAATGCAGTCTGGCATTCTGACGTCCAGTTACAAGTTTGGTCCTTGCACAGTCAACTGTTCAACGGAGCACGCATGCGATGCAATTCGGGCGGAAAAGCGCTGTAATGACTAATTGGACCACAGTATGAACGTAGCGATTGCAGATCCGCAGGCAGAGACATTTTTGGAATAGTTCAGATATTTGCTGGATCAGGATGACGTCCGTCTTTCTCGAAAATGAAGTGGAGGAACTTGAAGGTTGGTGTAAAAAGCGTACATTTATATTCACGGATTCAAAAACCATATGACTGGAGGCGTCCAAGCACTTCCGCGAGCCGCTCAAATAGTTGTACTGCCGTCCGAGCCAGTATAATGATATCAGCCAGGTACGCAGCAGCTCCAAAAACTCCTGCGTGCATGGTGTCCATCAGCTGCTGGAAGATGGCTGACGCTGTTTTCATTCCAAAAGGAGGGCGGTTATATTGGTACCAGACGCGATGAGTGTTGATGGTCAGCAATTTTCTCGAGCCTTCATCAACATCGACCTGCAGGTAGGCATGGGACAAGGCGAGCTGCACGCAACACTTCCCACCATTCAGCTTAGAAAAGACATCCTCTCGTATTGGAAAGGGGTACTGATGATCGTTTAGTGAGGCATTCAGGCCAAGTGAAATATCGGCGCAAACACCCACTTTAAAGTGCACCTTTCTCACAGCAATGATCGGAGCAGCCCATGTAGAGTAGTACACTGGTGTGATAACACCAGCGCGCTCCAGATCAACTGCTGCCATGGTTGCATACGGTACCGGTGTTTTTGCCCTTAAGACTTAGTTGGTTCCTTCGCGAAGGCACAATTTTGCTTTGAACTTAGTGCAATGACCGAGACAATCTTCAAACAAAAAGGCAAACTTCTTCGGCTTCCTGGCAACGTCTTCTATCGACAATGCCGCATGGACTGGATCTATTTGGATTCGATCGCAAAACGGATTCACCAGAACCTCAAGCAGTTGTAGCTATTCCATCCAGTCAATCCCAAAAAGGTTCAAGTTTGGTCGATCCGACAAGTAGCAGGTTCCGGTCTCTTGCACTCAATTGAAAGCAATTTTGCAGGTTAATTCTCCGACCAACTTCAGCACTCTATCGGATGCATTGTGGGTGACTTTATTGGATTCAACACGCTTCGGCCTCTTTATAAGATTTCAAAGATTCTTAGAAATGACCGTTATGTCTGAGCCCGTATCGAACTGCAGCCTGGTTTGGATCCCGTTTACGAACACATTGATGAATCGGCGACTAGGTCTAGAATCACTGTGAAAACCGGTAATCATCGATAGGGATTCCGCGTCAGGGTTTCGGAGGTTCTTTCTTCGGTAGGACTGCTTCAAAATTCGTAGCCAGGACCAATGGCAAATAGCTTCCTTGTGACCGCGTTTAGGGCACTTATCACAATGTGACGCTTGCATGGGCCGCAACGTGTAAACTGCCACTCACCACATGACCAACAACGTGTAGGCGGCTTGTTCGGCGCTCTGTTGAACGGCTTATTCGAGCTAGCCTTTCTTGCCTTTTGCACAGCACAAACAGTATCGGCAATGGCGGGGCGACTCTGCTCAACCATGGCGGTGCCGCGTTTCAATGTGAGCAACCGTTTGCATGCGCCCAAGAGACTTCCACTTCAAATCGGAATCATGATCCAACTTAGCAAAAAGTCGAGTGTGGATTTCCGCGTCGCGCGGATACTGCAAAGCGCTGACAAATATGAGATACTTAAACTGGTCAACCGTCAGAGAGCGTAAATTTAAACGTTCACATCCATGGTTAACCATGTCTGCTAGTGCGCCATAACCGTTCGTATCCCACTTAACAATTAGTAGATATTGGTAACATGTGCAAAACAAGGACGTTGCTCACAAAAATTGCTTTTAGTAGTGCCACTGCATCGTTGAAGTTGAGGCCCTTCGGCTCTTTGGGCAAGATGTGGTCGACGAATCTTGAATGTTCATTGATACCAAGCTTGTGCAGCAGTAGTGATACTTTCCATGAATCATCCTGACTGCTGAAGTCCATCGGGAACATGTTCTCCCAGCGTTTGAACCACGCCTCGAAAGTGCAGTCGGAATCAGAATCATA